TGCAGCTTCTAAATAATCTTCTTCAGGTTCATTTGTAAAGAATACTTCAACAGGAAAATTACGTCCAGGAATTCTAAATATCTTGCAATTAAAAAAATAAGAAGAGAATTTTTCAGCATCTAAAGTAGCTGATGTTACAATTAAAGTGAAATCATTTCTTTTAGCAACAACTTATTTTAATAATCCAAATAAAACATCAGTATTAATAGTTCTTTCATGAGCTTCATCCAACATTATAACACTATATTAACTCATATCTTTATCTATTAAAGCTTCTCTTAATAACATTCCATCTGTCATATATTTAATAATAGTATTAGGACCTGTACAATCTTCAAATCTAATAGCATATCCAACTTCATCTCCAAGTTATACTCCCATTTCTTCAGCTACTCTTTTTGCTACAGACATAGCTGCAACTCTTCTAGGTTAAGTACATCCAATCTTCATTCCATTTCTACCATATCCTGCTTCCATCAAATATTATGTAATCTAAGTTGTTTTCCCACTACCTGTCTCTCCTATTACTATAAGAATTCTATTTTCTTTTATTGCAGCTAATAATTCATTTTTAAAATTATATATTGGTAATGATTCTCTCCATTCTTTAATACTCATATGTGTTCTATTTCTTACACTAGATTTAAACATTGCTTCTTTTTTCCATTCTGGTATTTCTACTTACATTTAATTCATATTTCCACTTATCTATGCTAAAGGATCCTCTCTATATTTATCTCTATTCTATTCATTTATTGCTCTCTATTATTGTTCTCTCATTTCTCTTCTCTCTCTTGCTAATTATTATGCATGTAAAGCTTCTCTCTATAATGTACCTTCTGGATTCTTAACAACTCTTATTGGTGATAAATTTATTCCTGCTTTTGTTGTTTATCCTTTTAAAAATGGAGGTTCATAATCATTCATATCTATCTCTAAATCTTCTGAATCTGAAACAAAACCTTCTGATTCTGAATCCTCTACTATTGCTTTATTATCTATTTAACGAACTAATTTTGAATTATATTCCAATCTTGTCTTTTCCCATAAATCTGGTGATGCTATTCTCTTTGCTTTCTTTTTACAAGCATCTTATGGTAAATCTAATTTCACTCCTGTTATTGCCCCATATTTATTATTATCCTTATTCTATTCTTATTATTTTATCACTTAATCATATTCATTCATTGCCTTTGCTTTCTTTTCTATCTCCTATCCTGTATTCTAATCTACATCTCTCATTGATAATGCTATCTTTTCATTCACTATACTTATCACCTTTACAAACACTTTCTAATTCCTTTTCAATATATCAAAAGGATTTGTCACTCTTTTCTCTCTTATATTTGATATATGTACTAAACCTTCCTTTCTACCTTTAAAACCTGCTATCTATACAAACACTCCAAAATCCTAAACTTTTGTTACTACACCTTCATATATATGTCCTTTATCTATATCTCTATGAGTCTTCTAAGGAGATGCAGATGATTCTTTTTTATCTTTCTTCTCTTTCTCTTTTTCTTTCTCTTTTTCTTTATCTTTTTCTTTGTCTTTCTCCTTATTTTTATCCTTCTTTTTTTTCTTATCCTTCTTCTTCTTCTTAGTTTATGATTGTGATCTTGATCTTGATTACTCTTCGATATCCTCTAATTACACAGCTTCACGATTTGGCAATGCTAATCCCGGAAATTTTTATTCTTTTACTACCTACTCTATTTATGGTTGCTGTTCTACTTACTTCTTTTCTTAAGGAGACATTTTCTTTATTATATTAAATAAGGAATTTGTAAATTGATCTGTAAAATCAGCTTTTGCTGCATCCAATTTTTATTTAAATTCCTTCTCATCCTTACTCTATCTACCTAAATCAATAATATATTCTGCTAACACCTTATCCTTTATTCCTGTATGATTCTCCAATTCTTACAACACTCTTGAACATAAAGAAATATATTATAATTGTAGTAACTAATTCATTACTATAATTAATTTCTACTTTTATCTTTATATTCATAAATTATATATTATCAACCAATAAAAATATTTGTATTTATCTTTCTCATTCATCTTAACCTAACATTGTTAAATCTTAAATTTGGTTATTTTTAATTATTTTTAATAACTCTTACCAATCTTCTCTTTATTCAATAACTACTCTCTAGTTTAGAATATTTTTTCTTTTTTCAAAAGATAAACCCTAATAAAATTAAAACAATATTCATTTTAAAACATTTAAATTAATGACCTAAAAATCAAAACTATAAATTGTTAAAATTTATTTGGTGACACAACATAGATCAAATTTCAAAGTGAGAAATTTGAAATCAAAGATTTTTTAAGCTTTTATCATACTCAAAAGTCAGAAAAATTTATTGTTAAAACTTAAGATAAATCGTAAACAATTTGTTTTTTTCGCAAAATAATAAAGAATAGAAAATTCATGAGGTTTTATAAGAATATTAATTTATTTATATGAGTTTTTTTAAATCATGAAATAGCCTATATATCTTATTTCAAGAAGATGAGAGGATGTAGAAAAAATTTATGAATATATTCGTTAAAAAGTAAATTTAATATTAATTAAAATAGAGATCACAAAATTAGATTGGCAAAAATTAACAATTTTTTTTTTCTTAACATCTATATGTGATTCAAATATACTTGTATTCATCTCATATGCTAGCAAGATAAGTTTAGTTTTAAAAAAAGTAGAATTAGTATTTAAAAGGAATTACTTTTGATTAATTTTATGAAACTGAAATATAGTTTAAATTTTGAGAGTACTTAAAAATAAGTATCCTTAAAAAACAATCATATTTTTAGGCATATTTAGTATAAATAAATTAATCTTTATTAAATTTAAATTGATTCATCATGAATTATAAAGATGTAGACCCTGAAGGAAGTGTATGTTCTTAACCCACTGCAAGCTAAACAGGGGAAAACTTTCACTCAAGAAAAGTTACTTTTGCCAGATCAAAGCATTATGGTAAATGCCCTAATTGTGAATAATTGGACTTATAATTAAAAAAGACATCAGAGCAGATTTAAAATATAGAAGAATTACTCATTAGTTTTTAATAATAAATCGAAGAGCAGAACTTATAGAATAAAAAGCAAATTTAAAAATATGAGGAGTTGCTTATAGAAATGCAAATAATAAGCGAAAAACATCATTAAGAATTAATTAATAATGGAATTTTATAAAAACAAAATATTATCTTTAGAAAGGAAATCTTGAAATTAGAGTAAGAATTATCTGAAATTCAATCCAAAAATTAAGAACCGTATATCTAAATTATATTATAATAGCTCTAAAAGAACCTCAGAGTAGAAGTTCATTGAATCTTTAATCTAAATGTTTATGAGCTTTCATTCCAAAGCTTAATCCCAAGCAACACCATAACTGAAATAAGTTTGGAAATGGCTAAAATAGATTGTTTCAGAGTATGCAATTCTCAAATAAAAAGAATTTTAACTTCATAAATGATATCTATTAATATTCTTTAAGTATTTAAATAAGAATTTTATTAGAATAAATAAACTATATTCAAAATTTATTATTATCATCATTACTTCTTTTTAAATCGATTACTGCATAAATCTAAATCATTAATGATGTGAATTATATCCTTTAAATCTGTATTGACGCTAAGATCAATACTCTATCTCTACTTTGTATCTTTTTTAATTCTATTTTTAATATTATTTTCTGCATCCTTATGTTTTGGCTTGATTGTATAATCTGTAATTTCATGAGATTTTTTATTACTTGATTAAACTCTTTTAATATCATTTTTTTTTATTTATTATGCTTCTTTTGAAGATTAAACTTAATTATTCGATTCAAATAAATTATTTTTATTTGCTGAGGTTGATTTACTTACATGTAATTTTGCTTAGCTAGCAAAAAATTCTTTAACAGTTGATTTTTTTTATTTCGGCGTTGCATTTTATGTGTTGTTTCTTCTAATACAAATTTCATTAATATTTTATTCTTATTTGATAGGAGAAATATCCTATGAAGAAAATAAATCCTTTTCTTTTGTGAAATTTAATAATTTTTCTTCAAGTTTATATACAGGAAGAGATTCTCGATGAAAATGATTTGGGCTCTTTTAATGAACAAATTCAGTTAACATTTTTTCTCCTATATGTTTGATTTGATTTTTCTGTAAAGTAACTTCTAAATTCTTCTCTTAATTATTTTTTAACGGTGGAGAAGTTGGTTAAGAATTTGATATATTTTTAAATGTGCTGTTTTTTTTTAGCATCGAATCGTATTTCTTAATTTTCATTAAAAGGTCTTTTTAAATATCCTTGATTAATGTACAAGATTATTTTTCCAGTATTTTTGCTTTAAATAATGTTTCATTAAGTTTTATCTGTGATTTATCAGGAGAAATTTAATTAGACACTTTCTATGCATAAGAAAACTCATGAATTCGTTTTTTAGTTTCTACTGGCATAATTTCCATTCTAAACAAAGAAAGATGATAGTGATTAATTAATTTTATTTATCTTACAAAAATCAAATAACAGAATTAATAAATACTGTTTTCTTAAATTTAAAAGTTTTACCCAATTAGGAATGTACTATTTATTTTTATTCATATTTATACTTATTTTGATTAATTATTTTTTCAATTCAATTAAATCATATAAATAAGAATGAAGTAAAATTATAAGGCAATATCTTCAGTAAGCAAATAAACTATTTTACTTAAATAATTAAAATAGAAATAAATATTTATTATATGAATTAAATTGAATTACTAAACATTTGGAAACAATTAAAGGCCTAATATAAAAAAGTATGTAAAGAAGAGTGATACTTTTGTTGATATAGATTAAAATAATTCTCAAAAAGTAGACTTAGATGATTTATAATCAGAATTAAAATAAACCATGATATTCAACCAGATTAATATTAAATTAAAATATTAGCGCAAAATTTCGTAATTATTTAAACAATTATCAGTTTGAAAGAATTTTGAGAAGATTTAAATATAAAATGATTAATAAATATGAAAGGCTAATAATTAATAAAAATATTAATAAAAAAAAGTAAATAGAGATAAGGAAAATCAAATGATTTAGTTTTTAATTCTATTGGATAATAATCTGCTTAATAATTTCAAGACTATTTAAATCCAATTAAAGAAATATATTATTATTTTTTAAGGTGATTTTCTAATTAATTAATTCATTCATTCAAAGCTATTCACTTCCAAAATAAAAATAATAAATCGAACTTTCTAAAAACTTTCATTAATGCTAAGAAAATATTGCCTCCAAAAATATCATTTTATTGAAAAGAAAATTGGATGATCAATAAGATAAATTAAGATATTAACAAAAGAGAATTATTACTTCTCTATTAATACAAAAGTAAATCTAAGAAATGTAAGTCAGAAATTAAAAAAGATTTTGCTAAATATATTAAAAAAATTAGTTATAGTGATTTGAATACTAAAAAATTGAATAAATAAAATAGTAAGAGAAGATCTCAAAGTAGTTATGAACAAAGATGGTCAAACAACAGAAAAAATATTTCATAATTAAATAGATATTTAGTAGGATATCATTAGAATAATATGCTTACAAGATTTTGGATAGAAAATACGACAATAAATAAATATCATTTAAAGCTAATATGTTAAAGGATTATGAACAAAAAAAACAAAATTTGTTTTAGATTATGAATTTATTTCTATATTTATATTAATTTACAAATAAACAGGATAAAATTAATAGTAATGGCTGATATCAAAATTAGTAATTAAACAAAAGATAGAGTGGCTGCTTGTAAAGCTTATATAGAGAGAAAATATAAAAGTTTAATAACAAATGAGAAAGAAAAGATGGAAAATTGGTAGTAATTGTAATAGATATTACAAAATTTAAATTTTACTCCAATAGAATAGGAATTGATTAAGAAGGAAATTTAACATAAAGAAGCTATGCAATTAAGAAAGAAGTTAATATAAATTAATAATATATAGGAGATAAAAAATAACAGTGGAAGATTTTGAATCAATAGCTATAATTGGTAGAGGAGCATTTGGAGAAGTAAGGGTATGTAAATCAAAAGAGAATAATGAAATAGTTGCGATAAAAAAAATGAAGAAAAAGGAAATGCTTTTCAAAAATCAATTAGGGCATGTTAGAGCAGAGAGAGATATATTGGTTTCATCAAAATGTTAATGGATAGTAGAACTAAAGTCTTCATTTTAAGATGATGAAAATTTATATTTAGTAATGGAATTTTTAAGTGGAGGAGATTTAATGAGTTTGTTGATAAAAAAGGATATCATTCCAGAAAGAGATGCTAAATTTTATATTGCTGAATTAGTTTTAGCTGTAGAAGAAATTCATAATATGAATTATATACATAGAGATCTTAAACCAGATAATATATTGATTGATGCATAAGGTCATTTAAAATTATCAGATTTTGGATTATGTAAGCATTTAGGTTAACATTATGATATGGCAGTTCCATATAATATGAATAATAATTCTTGTGTTCAAAACAAATCGAAAAATGAATCAAGAAGATAATTAGCATATTCAACAGTTGGCACACCTGATTACATAGCTCCTGAGATATTTTCTTAACAAGGATACAATTAATTAGTTGATTGGTGGAGTGTAGGTGTAATTCTCTTTGAAATGGTTATTGGATATCCTCCATTTTATAGTGATACTCCTTAAAAAACATGTTAAAAGATTTTAAAATGGAAGAATAATTTTAAATTTCCAAGAGAACCAAAAGTATCTCCTTAATGTTATGATTTAATCACAAAATTGATGACAGATGTAACTGATAGATTATGTGATGCTTAAAAGATAAAAAAACATCCTTTTTTTACTGGAATTGATTTTACAAATATAAGAAATTAAAAACCACCATATACTCCTGATAAAAAGAAATTAACATCTAATTTTGATAATTTTGAAGAGAAAGAACCTTGGAAACATGTTACACATAATAGAGAAGAATCAGATTAAGATAAAAATGGATCAAATCTTAATAAGAAATACTTTCATGGATATACATATAAACGCAATTTAGATGTTGAAAAGAGTCCTGTAAAGAGAGCTTTAGAAGAATTGGAAAATATAAGACCTTCAGGAATAAAGGCAGATTTTGAAAAGAAATAAAGATCTCAATCTCCAAAACCTATAACAGCTCCACCTGAATTAAATAAGTCTTAACGATCTTAATCTCCAACTATAAAAGAGTAACTCAAAAATACATATATGTAATATATTGGATAATATTTATCACCACTAAATAAATAAAAATAACAATTGAAATAATAAAAATGAATACAATTGATATTTTAATATAAGAATAATCATTTCTCTGAATTTCTAAGTTAATATTTTCTTTTTTATTTTAATTATTTTTCTTTTAGCAATTATATTTATTCTTCAGTTTATTTAATTCTTTTAAGTTGTTCATCTTCATTATTATCTTTAATGATTCTTTTTTCTTTGGAAATGGCAGGAAGAGCAGGCAGAAAAGGAGATGGAGATTTTTCATCTTGTTAATGCTTGACACTTTAAAATGATAAGACTTAACATACTTTTTAATAAGTAAAGGTTTAGGTTCCCCTTCTATATCTAATTTCTTTTATACAAGTTTTTATTATAGTATTTAAATTTCTGGTTTAATAGGTTTTTTATTTTTTTTAACACCTTTAACAGGATTGCCAGCATAAATTTAATGAATGAGATTGAGTTTTTCAGTATTTTTAGTACCTTATGATGATATTTCAAGTGATGGTTTAGGTAGCATATATGATTCATCAATTTTATTTTATTTTTTACTAATTACAGATGAGGCATCATAAGATTAAATTTAAGAATCATCTAATCTACGACCTATTCTAGGTAAATGTTCTATATTTGAATTAGTTAATGTATCTTCAACATTTTCTTAACTTGATTTTTGAACAGCCAAAGTTTGAATGAATGAATTTTTATCTATTCTCATCATTTTAATTGGTGCATAATTTGGTTTAGGTAATCTATCAGTAAGATAATGCATAACTCTTGGAACTCTAATAGTTTATAATAAGAATTTAGCTCCTTCTTCTTCTATTAAAACTTTATCATCCATTCTATTAATAACAGCTGATAATTATAATATTTTATCACAAGAAGGTCTTAAATGAGGTTAGACTTAAAGCAAAGCTCTAATAATATTGCTTAGATCTTAACTATATATAGTTGGTATTTTTGGATAGTAACCTCTCACAACTTTCTTATAAAGTCCATTCATGTCTTCTGCTCTGAATGGAGGTTTTAATGTAGTCATTTCATATAAGACACAACCTAATGACCAAATATCAGATTTAGAATCATAAGGTTGATCTTTCCATACTTCTGGTGATGCATAATATGGTGTACCAGTTTAAGTGTATAATAATATTTTTTTAGCCACTTTAGATACATTCATATCTCCCAATTTAACAGTTCCATCTACATTCATAAAAACATTTGCTGATTTCAAATCTCTATGGTATATTTTCATATCGTGTAATGCCTTCAATCCCTTAACTATCTTAAACTAGGTTAATCAATTACTTAAATAAAATAGTTCCAGATATCTTTCTCAGCCATTAGCATTCCTTTTTTCTAACATTCAACTATCTTTTAGAATAGATCTCCATCATCTGCATACTCCATCACAATACTATTTAGAAATATACATTTTTACCATAAACTCTAAGTAGTCTCCTCTAAAAAGGCCTCCTTATATTAAATCACATTTGCATGTCTCACACTTGCTAATATTCTAACCTCATTCAAAGCATTTTATTTTTCTTTGTCTGATAATGATTGTAGTTTCACTTTCTTTAAAGCATATTCTAATCCATCTGCTATTCTTCTTACTTTATACACTTTCGAGTATGCTCCCTCACCTAATTTCATCATATATTATACCTAGTTCTTACAAAATCTAAAAGTCTTTTAAAGACATTTTCTACCTTTTTCTATTTTTTATTTATATATTTATATAATTATTTATAACAATCAAAATTTATATTTATCATAAATTTTAATCACTCTAATCCATTTCATTAAAATGTTATTTGTTTAAATTTGGAGAATTAATTCCCTATTCATTCCTAAATTAAATTTCTTCATCATTTTCTGTAATATCATTCACTTCATCATAATCAATAGCAAAGTTTGTTTATAATTTTAATGATGGTTACTTCCCCAATAATGTCTAATTATCTTTTACTTAATCTATAGTTTAATTTATAGCATCCATTTCCTAATGGTAAACTTATATTTTTACATCATAAGATTCATTTTTATTCCTATCATAAATATATTATTCTCCATTTCTTGTATATCTGATTTTCTCTGATCTTATAAATTATTTCCAATATTCCCCAACTGGTCTTACATCATCAAATGTACTAATCAATTATAAAAATGGTATTAAATCTAATAATTCTGTGTCACTTGGGTCATCAAAATAATTCTTTATATGAATAGCATTCTTAGGTTAAAGTGAAAAAGAGGTTTGAGTATTATCAATTATAATAAGATTATTTATTGATCTTTACAATTTTGATAAATCTTTTACAAAAACCCCATTCAATATTGAACAATTTGGCCTAAACAACCTCAAAGCACAAACTCCTTTCTAATCTATTCTATCAATTACTGGATTTGCATACTCAAATTTATTTATTTAATTACTTCACAAATACTTGCAGTAAATATAAAGATTTCATAAAATTCTGCCATTTTTATAAGAAATTCTTCAGCACCAGGCCTTATTCTAACATAAATTGTATAATTTGCATTCAATACTTTGATCTCTTAATAAACATAATTCAAACCTTCAAAATGAAATCCGGATCTGATATATAATTGAAAGAACTATGAACCAAAGTTTCATCTAAATCTATCACTAATGTCTTTCTCCCCATATGTTAAAGAGACTATTTTGGAATTTGAATTGGTTTTTAATTATAGGAAATTGGTATCAATCTATTTTAGATTATATCCCTTACGATTTAAAACATTCACATTTTATTAATGACTTTAATGTATTATAAAAAGACACAAATGCATTTTGTTTAGGTTCCTCTTAAACTATTATATTGCTTGTTCTCATTATTAAATTATTTATATTTTTAATATATTATCATCCTTTTATCAATAACTATGTCATCATTTTTAACACCAACAAGATATGAACTATCTGATTCATTAAGATTAACTCATTTTACTAAATCAATTTTCTTTAGAAAATATTGAATCTTCACATTTCACAAGCTATTATTGATGAAGAAGACAATATTATCGATTGTACTGAATCGAAGAAATGAGAAATCGTTAAAATTTTTATGAATTTGAATACTATAGATCAATAATATGAATCTTCACAAACTATTAATTAGATTATTAATGGTATGTATTTTCTTTATTCTTAATTTAGTAATTAATTTGCTTATTTCAATTATTCACTCTCTTAACTATTCTCTAAGGTTTGATAGGCTCTCATAAAAGAGTCTAAACCCATTTATTATTCTAGATAATATCTGAGAGCTTCTATTTTATAACCTATAGTATCTCGTTCAGAAGTCCCTGGAACTTAAAATTATTTTTATTAATTAAGAAATCTATTAATAAATTAATAATAAATATTACTAAGGAACTATTTTAAAATTGTCAACAATCATTGATTCTTCTTCTTCCTTAGATTATTTTTTATCTAAGCATTTTCGCATATCTTTAATAAGGAATTTATAGCCTTATTATTATTCAAAACTGTCATCTTCTCTTACTAAACTTACTATTGATTCTTTTCTCTTATGTTCTTATAAGATTGGACTCTTATTTTAAAGTCTAACTATATTTGTATTATCTTTTAAATAAAATTTATTTAATAATTCTAAATTTTGATATTTAATAGGCTGTTGTTGATTTTCCTTTTAACTAACAACACTAGCAAATGATTATGGTTTTTCAAATTTTTCATCAATTTGTTGATGCTATTACTAAATTTATTATTATTATATTGAATAATTTTAATTTAATGATTATAAAGGTGAATTTTGTCTATTAAATAATTATTTTAATTCGACTTTGCTATTATCTTTTTTAGGTGAAGGCTTTTTGCTAGCAACAGTTTAAATAATCTATCTTGAAGTAATAGGAGAATTATTTTAACTTAGATTTTAAGAGATTTTATTCTATTCAAACTATTTTTATTATAAAATAAATTATTATGCGGTCTATTAAGGCTATATTAATCTAAAAATAAGATAATTATATTACAGATTTTCTGTTTGTTTTATTTCTGTTAATTCTTACAATTCATGTCTATTTAATGTTGAAACTAGCAAATTACCAATTCTTTATTTTAAGAAATCTCTTTCTAAGATTCTTTTTATACTAGGTCTTTTAGAAGGATCTTTAATTAACATATCAGCAATTAAAGATTATAATTCTGATGAATATTATGATGGTATTGGAGGATAGGTACCTCTTAATATTTTTAAAACCAATTCTTTCATTGATAATGCATCAAACGCATGATTTAAAGTAGTTAATTCATACAATATACAACCAAGAGACCAAATATCAGATTTTTAATTGTAAGGTTTCTCTTAACAAATTTCTGGACTTAAATAATAAGGAGTGCCAATTGCTGTTTTTGCACAATCATATGTGTGTTATAAAACCCGAGCAATACCAAAGTCTCCTATTTTAACATCATTTTTGCTAGTTAAGAATATATTTTAAGTTTTCAAATCTCTGTGTAAGATTTTTCTCTCATGAATATGATTCATAGCCAAAGCCATTTATACAAACCAATCTAATATTTATTCTTCTGAAAATAGAATTCCAAGTTCTTTTTGTTTAGCTATTTTACCATATAAATCACCACCATCAGCATAATCCATTACAATACATAGACATCTGATATTGATTTTATAAAGGAATAAATACTTTTTTTCCATAAATGATTCTCTATAAGTTATAATGTATGGATGTCTCATTGCCTTTAACACATGAACTTCATTTAAAGCTTCTTCTCTTTATTTTCTGTCCATCTTAGAAATATCAATTATCTTATTTAAATCATTTGATACTTTTATAATATAGTTTTTCTTATTTGACAACGCCTAGGCTAGAAGGGCATATCCAAAACTACCTGATTTATTTTATCATAATACCTTTTCCAACTACTCTTATTTTTTTGTATTTATCCATCCAGTTTAAATTTTAAATTTAATTATTTAATGAATTATAAAATACTGTTAAGAAAAAAATTATTATTCTCATCTGCAAATATAAATTCCAAATGAGAATAAATTTTCAAGAAAAACAATATATTAATTATGAACCATAGTTTGGAAGATATATAAATATTATGACTTTCATATAGAATATCAATTAAATTTAATAATAAAAATATCTGCTTAAATTAAAGATTCATGTAATATTGTTGTAAGATATAAAAAGGAAAAAAAAAGAATAGATTGCTTTGTAAATGATTCTTAAATTAATATTTTTATTTAATAATGGAAAATTATAATTTCTCTGCTTTATCTATATCTATATAAACAGAAACTAAATCCTCTTAATCAGATTAATAGTTTAGCAGTCCTTTAAAATCTGAGAAAACTAACTTCTTAGAATTTGATAATCAAAAATAAAATAATGATTCTGCTTAATAATCTCAAGTTGAAGTTTCTATTTAGAAAGATTGCTAAGAGAAGATAGCTTAAACATCGGAATAGAAATCTAATAGTATATGCGGATCATAATTAAAGTAAACTAAGCCATCATAGAATAAAAAGAGATTAGTAAAAAGATGCTAAACTACAATTTTAATCGGATAACCCAACCATAAGCATAATTCTTAAAAAGCTGAAAAATATTTTGTTAAAAAAAACAATCAAATAATAGAAACTTCCTTTGAGAGAATAAAAGTTAAGAGATCAAATTTTTCTGGAATGTTTCTTACAAATTTAAGGTAATATTAGAAACCAATTCAGGTTCGTTATTTTCGATCTACAATCACGAAAGTCCTGGTGATTGACTAAGAAATGTTGGCTGCTGAATTTATAGTTTTAGCATTAACATAGTTCCAAAATGATATCAAATTAGATTAATCTTTGTATGAATTTCCAAATTACAGTTTAGCCTATTAAATAGAAGGATAAGATGATTAGTAGGATTTAGATGAATTTTCATATCGACGACCACTTTAGAGATACAAAAGTTTTGGATCTCTTGAGGATATGATGAAATCAAGAAGAGAAAGTCTAAATGAAATAGATTATGAATAAAAACCTGTTTCCTAGGCTGAAGTTTCATTACTAGCAGATGATGACATTGATGATAAAATAATTTAAATTGATTTAGAATCACCTATGAGATATTATAAATCTGTTGATATTGTACCAATATAAGATTCAAAATAGTTAGATATTGATTTGCAGATGGTAAAGATTTTACATCAACAACTTCCAAATCACATTCTTATTTTAATTGAGGAGCCTATCAGTAAAGGAAGATTTCATATAAAAATTCGACCAAATTAGTTGGTGGAAGAATTATTTATAGAATTAGGTAAGAAAGCCAACAAAAATTATAGGAGCACCGATTATAATCTTAATTTAAAATATCCTTGCATTCACATGGGGACAGAACCTATTAATTTAAAAATACCTATCAGTAAATTACCTATACATTATTTAATGTTAACCTAAAAGTTTCAAAGTGAGGCTAATCGATCATTAAGATAATGTACAGATAGTTTTACAATTAATATTAATAAAGATACAATTTTCTCAAAAAGTGCAAATAAATCTTATAGATTTTTATAAGAAGAAGGCAAAATGACTGAGAGCACAGATAAAGTTCGAAATTAATATTCGTATTAAGAGTATTAATTATTAAAATTTGATAAATAATTTAAAAATAATGTGATTTTGGGAATTGATTATTTTGATTTATATTACACTTATACTTAAGAGAGACAGAGATAATTTACTATAGGAAAACTTTGTAAATCAATTTCATAAATTTTATTTGAAGAGCCAATTATGAAAAAAGATTATAGGAGATTGCCTTTAAATAAAATTTTAAAAATTGAATTAACGAAGGATTTTAATCTGATAATAGTTTATGAGAAAAGCCAAGATTATAAAAAATAACTTCATTTTGGAATAGATGTAAATCAAGAGAAATCAAAAATAGATCTGCAACAGAAAACTATTATGAATGCTTACAATAAATTAGAATATTTAGTGGATTTATATATAAAATATAAATAACAATTATGAATTTATTCAATATTGATAACTCTTTAGCAACCTCTTAATCAATTTAATCTAATACAATGAGTGTTTTTATTGATTAAGATTGGCTTGCCAAATAATTAGAAAATGTGCAATAAATTGACTACTAAAATTGTAATTAACCAAGCAACACAGACATTTCTGAGTTTGTACTATAATAATCAATTGGAGAAAGTCCATTTATATAATAAAATAAACGAGATCCCATAGAATTTTCATTGTTAAAACTAGAAAAATTAGAGGAAAATCAATAAATTAATTATACACCTAAAAAGTAATACTCATCTGCAACAAGAAAATAAAATTATAAAAAAAGCAAAACTTCTACAGGCTTTCCATATGATTAGAATGATGACAATTAGTATGATGCAGAAACATTAAGGAAAATAAAATCTTCTTCAGTTCAAAAAAAATCAGAATTTACAAAATAATTAAATAACTATAAATAGAATTTTTCAATATAAATCAATGTGAAATACTTTGGAACATAATATTAATAAATCATATCTGTTGATGAATCAATAAAAGCAGCAGAGTTTATTGTATTGGCTTTAAATAAATTTGCATAAGATCCTAAAAGTGACAAATCTAAATTCGAATATTAAAATTTTACGTTAGCTTACAAACTAATTGGTTAGGATATAAGCCCTTCAAAGTATACATATAATAATGATGAGAATTTTGATAATGATAGTATTATTTTAGAAGATGAATCTTTAGAGAGACCAGAAATTGATTTGGAATCTCAATTGTTTTATAAAATGGTAGAATTACTGCCTACAACAACTAATTATGGATTAGACTTTTAAACAATAAAGTAAACATTTGTTTCACATCCAGAATCTATTATATTATTAATAGAAGATCCTCAATCTTTAATTTTTTATCATATAAAAGTAGATAAAAGGGGTAATTTGGGAGATTGTTTAAATGAATTAAATAAAAAGGTGAGTAAAAAGTATTTAAAAAATGATTACTATTTAAGTTTAAAATTCTCATGTGTTAATTACGATTATGGAGAGTTAAATGAACTATTTCCAATTAATTAATTGCCAATTCATTGGTTAGTTATTCTATTAAGAGTAAAAGATCAAATTCCTGAATCATTAGAAGAAGTTTCAATGGCTAATATTTGTAGAACATTTAATAATACAATTTATGAAAATATGAGTTCCTCTAATTCATGTCGTTTCTTATCTTTGAACTTTATGTAATTGGCAACAGTAGAGAAACTGCCTTTATTATATGGATATTAAGAATTCAGTTTAATAAGAATAAACAAAGGGTAGTTAGATGATGTCGTATTGGGCATAGATTATTTTGATCTCTATTATACATATAATTTAAAATAATCTAAAAAATTAGGAATTAAAAAGTTGGTATCCAAAATAATTAAGTCATTGTTTGTTTAAGAGGTAGAATAAAAAAAATACAAAAGAATTCCAATAAATTCAATTACAGATTTAAAGCAACAAGACGAAAAATATTTTGAAATATTCTATGAATTAAAGGATGGATATCAAAAAAAAATTCAATTCTTTCCTAAAAACGATGACAAAACAGTTTTTCGAGAAGCTTTCACTAAATTAGAGTATTTAGTATCAATATAACAAATTTAATGAGTAAACATTATTTATTTTTGGTGTTTTCACCTTTTTCTCAATATATTTTAGGTTTTACTTTATAGATTTATCTTTAATTAGATTTTGTTAATCTTTTCAATTTTTAAAAAATTATAATTAAATAATAATAATAATAATTGTTTAAGTCCTGACCCAAAAAAATTAATTATGTGATTTAAATAATTTAGATTAAGAAATTGAATAAAAATTAATTATAGAATGAGCTCATATAATTAAAATATAATAGAGTTATTAAACTAGAAAGAAATAAATTAATGAAAATGTTCATTTAACAAGATAGCATATTAATTAATGTAATTTACATATTTTAATTGTTTTTGCTTAATTTCATAGAAATCTAATTATATTTAATTATATGCAATAATAATAAACATAAGTTGGACAAGGACCTTTATGGTAAGCAATACCTTAGAATTTTGTATTTGCAAAACCTAAATTTGAAGCTACAGTGACAAAATTGGGAAAAAAATAACATGAAAGACATTTAGTAATAACAGAGAAACATATATTATTATTCAAAGTAATAGAAGTTATATTGAAAAGGATAAAAGTAAACATGTTCATAAATTGCTTCCTTTGGATTTTACTACAAGATTCGAGATATTTAGAGATGCTCCTGTTTTGAAGGCCAATGCATCTTAAAAAAAGTCAACTCCAAATACTCCTCACTCAAATAGAGTTGATATTGTCAAACCAGAGGATGTATAGACTCTAGGTGACATTTTGCATATTAGATTGTAAAGTGAGAATACGGAAAAATATTGGGATTTCACTGGTGATTAAGAGAGTTTAAAAACATTTAGAAAATATTTTGGATAGAAAATAAATTAGATGGGATTTCATCATATGTTCAAAGTTTTTAAGAAGATAGGAAAAGGAAATTTTGCTAGTGTTTATTTAGCTGAAAGAATTGAAGATGGATAATAAATGGCTATAAAAGCATTTTCAAAAAGTGCAGTTTATGCAGAAGAGAATGGAAAAGTATTAAATATTATTAATTTATTAATAGGAAGGTTTAATAAATGAAATAACAATAATGAGAGAACTTGATCATCCAAATATAATGAAATTATATGAAGTTTATGAAACTTAGAATTCATTATATATGGGATTAGAACTATTATAAGGAGGATAATTATATGAAATAATGAAAAAGAAAGTAATTCTAACAAACAAACAAATCTAAGCAATAATGAAAGGACTTTTAGAAGGATTAGCTCATATGCATTCTAAAAATATAATGCACAGAGATCTAAAATTAGAAAATATTTTATTCAAAGAATAGAAGTATAATATTATTATTGATTAAACGAAATTAGCGATATAACTTCAGTAGTGATAGCTGATTTTGGTTTAGCTACTTTTGTGAATCTTCCAGTTTATCTTTATTGTAGATGTGGTACTCCAGGATTTGTGGCACCAGAAGTTATTAATATTACTGATATGTCAACAACTTATGATAGTGTTTGTGATATTTACTCTCTTGGATTAGTTTTCCATATATTATTAACTGGAAAACCAGGCTTTCCAGGTAGAAGTTATAATACAATTGTCTAATAAAACAAAGAAGCCAAAATCAATTTTAAAAGCCCAGTATTTGATGTTGTACCTCCACCAGCTTTTGAATTACTAAAACATATGTTGGAAGCTTCTCCTAAGAAAAGAATTACAGCTGTAGAAGCTCTTAAATATGAGTTTATTGCATTGTGTGAAAAAACTGTAAATAATTCATAAGAAGATGATGGAAATATTGGAGACATAGATGATAAACCAGGACTTAATGTTAGAATATAATAAATCAATGAATAGTATCTCAAATATCTATTTATTTAGAGCAGCTAAATTTGATATGCTTAGAATTAATCAATTAACTAATTCACCTCTTAAATCCCCTGTTATGCAAGCCACTAATAAAATGAAAGAAGTTTAAAATAAAGATTAATAAATGATCATGAGAACACCAGTTATTACAGGAAGAACTGTCGCTTGTGAAGGTATATTCTCTTTTTCTTATTTAAGAATCTCCAAATATGAACTAGTTTGTCTCTCCAGGCGTTTAATTCAAAAAACTATAATAAAAGTATTATTCTTAATTTCTCATATTAGCTAATAATAAGCACCTACAGGAAATGTATTATTGAAATATACTCAAAAACCATAATAATAGTAATCAAATAATAATGAGGATGAAAAAAAGGATTAAACTAATATTGCTAAATCAGTTAAAGCCGCTTTAAGTAAACATGTATGAAAATTATAAATAAATAAAATATATATATATATATTAAATTCCATTTTTCATATGTCTTTTATATATTTGAAATTTTCTGGTTCTCTCAAAGCTCGAAGTAAATTATATCTATATTTTAAATGCCATCCTGTATTTGCTATTCTCGAATTGTATATGTAACATACTGATTACTATTTTAAGAAATATTCACTAAATATGTTATTTAAAATCAAATACCTAAAGATTCGAAATGCTTTATTAAATTACTAGCTTTTCATTTCATTAGTTTCTACCCAAAGATCTCTTAGTTATTTAATATTTGTCATTTAATTTTTTTTATCCTTTAAAATTGTTACAAATTCTTCAAATTATTCATAATTCATTATTTTTAATCCAATATCTTTATTTTATATTATATAACTAATTATGGCTTTTGAAAAATTTTTAGTAATGTTTTTTGTATCATTTACTTTTCCTTTTTTGATTTTACTTTTTAGTTTAAAATAAGAACTTTTCATTTATTTACTATCTTTTTCGATTTGCTTTTGTTCAATAGATTCAGAATCATCATGAGAACCAAAAAATTAAATGTCAGATGTTCGAAAATGCTGACTTTATTAAGCTTGTCTTGTTTAGACTAAAAATCTATCTTATGATTATAAAATAGGATTAGTTATTTAGTATTGCATAGCTGCAAATTATTCTTATGGATAATTTGTATAAAACTAAGGATAAGGTGAATCTAAAATTTTTTAAAACTGTTACATTGTAACATAGGAAATTAGCTTCTTGGAAAATTCATGAAAGTACTATCATTAGATTCTTAAACTTTAATTTTTTTTAAGATTTTATCGTCCGAAAATATAATCTTTCATTTTATAGTAATTTATACATATAGTTGATTATTTTGATATGGCAAGACCTTAATGTTGGCTTTCTTATTATTATTCTAATGTCGAATAAGATTGTTTAAACATTTAATAAATTTATGTTAAACGATAAGAAGCTGATTTATCTACATAATTATAATTCAATTTACTTTAATTCTTTAGTCATTACCATCAAAACTATGATAAACATTTTAGAAAGAAAATGGCTATTGCATCATAGACATTTGAACACTATCCTAACTTCTAAGATTACTTGTCATCATAGAGACTTTTTTAATGTAATAATTAATAATTCAATATAGTATAATAATTCCAAATTAACTGGACATTTTTAATGTGTAAAAAAATATCCATTTTTAATATGTTTATGTTACAAAAATTATACTAGATTATTTAATTTTTATAAAACTAAATCTTATATTATTACCTATAATTTTTCATCATTCTTACCCTTGTTCCTTCTGTTTTTCTTATGACTCCTCACTTTCTGATTATGAACTTTCATGCTCCTATTGAATCTATTATTCTTTCAATTTCTAATATTGGGATTCAGTAAAATTAGTATATGCCCTTAATAGTTATTCCTTTAGTTCCTTCTCCATTTCCTATCATACTTTAGAATATTATTTTACATTAAATTTTTCATTACTGTATTCCTTTAATGGATTCATACCCTCATTGGTTTTAGCTGGCTACCATAAAATATGAGGATATGTTCTAGAATGATCATCAAATATTTTACTTTGTTATAAAAAAATCTCTCATTATTTTAATTTACAGTTCCAGTAATAGAACCTAAAATATAATATAAGTTGATACCTATCTTTTATATTCATCAGCAGCCAATTCTCGTTCCAATTACTTTCTCTCGTTAACCAACTAACTCTTTTTTTTCTTAAAAATATACAAAGAATAAATACATTTTAATCTTCCTTAAGCGTTTATAAATCCTATTTATCTTTATCATCTAATCTCTTACTTATTTCTATCTATTTATCTAACTATATAAAATTAATAATCAATTGCTTACCTTCTATTTCTCACCAATCAAATCTTATTTCGCTTTTAAGAGATGATTTCCAATTAAAGATTTTGCTAAACGTTTATCCTTCTCTTTCAAGGTAGTGGGTACTTTTTCATCAAGCTACTTTTACTTTTCTACGCGTTCTTCTTTTGCACCAACAAGATTTAATACAAATACTTTCTAATTACTATTAAAACAATAATAACTACCTACTCATTTCCATTATTTAATTTTATTTTTTTCTGATCTTATTTTCTAATTAATATAAATAACTAATATACTAAAATGAAAAATTCTTAATCTCTTTTATTATTGTCTTTCTTTTTGTAAGACTATCTACTTGCTTTTTGTGCAATTCGGTCAACTTATTTCTTAAATCTTCCACATTCATTGCAGATATATTTTATATTATATTATTTTTATTAATAAAATTAACTCATTCATTTATAGGTAGTACTTAAAACTTATTCCATTAGTATTTCAGTGTCCCAAGTGATAAAATCAAATTCAAACTCTAATAATCCACTTAAATTCCATTATCAACTTAATTACCTAAATGTCGATCTTAAACAAACCAATAATACTACAATAAATAACAATTTATATACATTTGTAATTAAATCCAAAAAATTTAAAGCAAAAGCTAATATCAATCCTAAAACTATCAAAAAAGCAATGATAATCCCAATTAATAAATCAATATGTATTTTTAAATCATCCTTTATTACAATTGACAATACTATTAGCGATATTATTATCATTGATAAAATTGTCAAAATGAATGATAAGAATAATAATTTTTCATGTTTAGTAGGATCTTTAAAAGATTATATTAAATTTATCTCCTTATAAAGTTTTATTCTAAAAAGGAATTTACAAATTTCACACCTAATGGGCTTTATAAATCTACTTTATTTTTCATCCATAAAATTACTTTCAACATCTTTTTGCACACATTATTAATGTACATGCTACATTGATCCTTTGCAAAGGCAAGGACGTATAAAATTATTTTATGAATCAGTTTATCCACAATATTTGCATTCTTTTTCTTCCTATTTTTTTAAAATTAAAATAGATGAACTCAACTTATTTGTAGTTGAATTACTATTCTCAGTATTAGTATTTAAATTTATTTATTTTTTCTTTAATAGCTCATTACTCTTTAAAATTAATTCTTGATTTAGTTTTTAATTTTTTTTAGGAGTATTATATGTATTAGAATCGTTTGGATTTAAGATTAATTAATCAATATTTGTATCTGATTACTGGCGACTCTGATTGGGTGTTAAATTTTGAGTATAAATAGTATTATATTATGATTCTTATGCAAACCTTTCTGTGATTTAAGTAGAGATCACTTCTTCCTTTTTTTTTATTCCTTTATAAATAGCTTAATGATTGTTCATTGTTACTCTCAATTCTTCTTGTTAAATTAAATTTCAACTTTTATTGATTATTTTTTTTTCTATTTATACCATTTTTAGTTCTAATTTCAGTCAATTTTTAGTAAAAAATTAATTATAAATTTTTGTTTTTAATTATAAAAAAAAAATACAGATTATAATAGTTAAAACCATTTCAAATAATAGATGAATAGCTAATTTGATAAACTTTAAAATTTTATGTATGCTATAGTAATTAAAAGAATTTGAAAATCTTAAATTTCAAGCTTCTATGGTATTTGTAATTTATTCATAATTGTATAATGAAAGACAAATTTTTATATTTGCTAATTATTTAAATATAATTTTTACAATCTTAAATCTTAATTAAGAATTAGTCTCTAAAGAAAAAATTATCTAATGTAATATTGGAAAAATTTGGTAATTGATTAATGCCATCAAAATAATTTGAATTAGATATGTATAAATTTTTCTTATTCAAAATAGGAAAATAAATTTTAATTATGTAATCTATAATCGATAATTTGAAGCATATTGATAAACAAATGTAAGTCAAAATTGAATGAAATGAATAAATTTTTAATTTGCAATTCTAATTATATTTTAAAAAAAAAGAATAAAATATAAATAATGTCAAAATCATACCATTACCAAGTTTAGTATATTGCTAAAGATTAATAGGAGTAGAAAAGAGATTCCTAGCCATAACGAAAAGTAAATTAAATATAAGATTAGTATAGTCACATAATAATTATGATGGATATTAAAGAAACAAAAAATATTACACGAATCGAGGGCATTATTAAAATGACAATAAAAGAGTGGAATACGAATGTATTTATAGTATTATTATTATTATAAGAGAAATAATAAATATGCTAACCCTAAAATAATGTTTATGATGCAAAATTATTAGTTTCAGCTTATCGAGAATATTAATAACCCCCTGAAGACATCATATAGCTGACCAAAAAATTGCCATAATTATTTGCAACTAAACCATTCAAACCTATTTCTTAGACAGCACAATGTAATCATAGTGACGAAGAAGAACCATAATGGATGCAAGAATCTTAATTTAATGCTCCTTTTTAAGTAAATGATATAGAAAATGAAATTTAATAAAAAAGAGAATAATATTAAAAAGATCATGGAACTTTTGAGAAAAAATAAGAATAAAAAAGATAAAAAACAGAAGAATTTTAAAAAAACTAAGATGCAATAAGTAGTATTGAAATTGAAAAATAGAAGTACATAGAAAAACGGGAATAAGAATTAAAACAATCCTAAGCTGCTAATGAAACTAAATAAAAACTATTTGAGATTTTTTATTCAAATATTGAATCTTAATAAAATCCTGTCTAGATTAATCATAAAATATTAACAGTAGAGGAATTAGAAAAATTGCAATTATCAAACTAAAATAATACTAAAAATAACCAAGAAGAAGCAGAGAAAGTTTAAGAGACCTGCATTAGTGATGATGAATTAAATTAACTTTTGGGTCTTAATAACAATAATGCAAACTCAAACTCTCAAATTGAGGAAAAGGTGCCTTCAGTTCTTTTTAAAAGTGAATTAATTAAAACTTCACCATTTTCTATTCAAGCTCAATTACACAATAAAGACATTAATGAATCTTTATGGTTTTATATTGATAAATAAAACAAAGTAATTTGGATTTTTTATTTAGACTTAAGGAGGGTTTCCAACTAAAAATATGGATATATGGTTTTCATAAAATTACTTAAAATCAAATCTCATGATTTCTTGGGGTTCTCCTGGAAAGTGGATATATTTAGAATAATTTTAAAACAACTTATAAATGATATTATAAGGAACCTTAGATAAATTAAAAGCTATGGATCCTTCGGCTGTTGATCAGGTCAAAGCTTACAAGCCTGCTCAATCAAATTAATTATAATCATGGAACAATCATTAAAATTATGTTTAAAATAATAATAATCACAGATATCAATATAACAATTACAATAATTAATATGGATAATAAAGAAATAGAAATAATTAAAATAGAACTATATTTTAGATTGGATAAAAGGATTCCTAGTAAATGAATAATAATTAGTATTATTATTAAAATGGAAATTAATATGAATAATCAGGTGAAGGATTTATTCTTGATCCAAAGAGTTTTCCAACACCTGATGAAAAATGAGATTAATAAAATTAAAAAAAAAATATTATTTAAATATTTCAAAATTTTCTATTGCTAAAATTTATCAATCTCTAGGGTTAGGTTGAATAGGGTTTTCTAGTACTACCAATCTACTATAAACTATTTATTAATAATCTTACTTTTTTTCCAGAATAATCAGGAATATATTTTTTTTTTGATTAATTAAGTGGGCTTTGACTAATAATATCATATATTTAGATTACCTTTCGTATTGATTTTAATAATAACTAGAAGAATTAGTCTTGACTGGATTTTTTAATTATGTTAATATGATTTTCTATTTTATTTCTTCTTTTTTTATTTCCTCTTCTATCTTTAGTTGTTATCTAATTAAATCATTTCTCTTAGATGGAGATAATAGTTGCAATTTCTTAAGGTAACTCATTCTTGATAATTTTTATAATTCTCTATTATATTCTTTCTCAAATAGTTATCCTATATAAGATTTATTAGTTTATTATGATTCTATTTCAATTTCTAACTTGTTTATTTTTTTCTTTAACTATTAAATTTAAAATTCAATATTTTTCTATAAATTTCTTGAATCAAAATTATTTTTTTCGATATCTTATCTATATAAATATTCTTGTTAATTTTGCTACTCATTTACATCTTCATTTTATTATTTTACTTATTCTATTTCATCATATTATTCAAATTATTCTATCTCTTCTTCTTAATTTTCTTTATCTTTATATTCTTTCCCTTATCTATATTCTACTCCTTATTGCTCTTATTAATGATCCTAATACTCTTAGTTTTCTATATAAATTTGATCTAATAAATTTTGTAACTATTATTGCTGTCCTTAAATTAAAAAAACAAAAGTTTCAAGAATTTCTTTACTGATTTCTTGTCCTAATTATTGTAACCAAACCTTTAAAGAATCAACCGTAATTTAGTTATCATTATCATAAATATCGAGTTAATTCAAATCAATTTTTTCTTGTATTTATTAATATTATCTAGGAAATAAGAATATAACTTACACATAATTTTATTTTATCTAAATGAAAAATTATGATAATTGTGTTTCTACTTCTTTTGGTAATAACATATTCACAGGTAGTTCAAAACCTCTATGATTTAAAGCTGAATCCTTTACCTTCTCATTCATTTTAGGTAAAATTGCACTTTTAAAGCTTATTAATAAGTAGAAAATAATACTCTTAATAAGTGACTAAGCCATCCATATCTTCGTCTAAAATTCTGAAGATATAATAAAGTTGCTCTTCAGTTATCTAAATTTCATTATCATTTAAAAATTCCAAGATGTTCTCCGGTTTTAATCCTCCAGTTCTTGATTAATCTAATCTCTTATAGGCTAATTTTTCATTTAAAATTATTACTTGTAAATGGTTCAAAACAATCATAGCTTGCTAAAAGCATTCTTATCTCTTCTAGTTTTGCTTCTGCTTCAACTGTATATTGAATAAAGAAATAGAAATTCATTAAATTCTAAATAAGACTAAATAAATTTTATTTAATTCTTTAAACATAAATTACAAGAATCATTCTAAATTAAATAATCTATTTCTATTTTAGATAGTATTTCTTTAACTTAAAGGAGAAATTAAAGTCTACTTAATGTTAAACCTATACTTTTTTAGAGGCTCATAGTAATCACCTACGCTGCTATTTCTGTACCAATTAGAGTATAAATATTAATCATCTAAATCTTAAGGTCTTTTTTTAGAACTTAGATTGATTTTATAAACTCTGAAATATCAAGTAATTCATAATTTTTAATTGTATATTAATAACACTGTCTGGTCTTAGCACTTAGTTCAAAGTCACTACAATTTTATTATTCCAAAGATTATGAAATAAGTTTTTATCTTTTCTGAAAGATACATTTCTTAGAAGGTTAAATTACTGTTTCTAAATCTGTAGTAGGTATATTTCTTAATCTATTAATTAATTTATTCGATTATTATTCAGTTTCTTATCTATAGTTTTAATTGTCAATCATATCATTTTAGTTCTTTTTTGAATGCTTAAGTATACTCGAACTAATATCATATCAAATTTATCGTAGCCATCAATAAGTATTTAAGACTATTTTTATAATTTACAAATTTATTGCTAAAATTCATTCTCTCATTTTTGGAGATCTGATATTTGAGATTTCAGATTTACTATTTGTTATTTTTGTTCTGTAATCTTTTTATGAATTTAATAATGAATTTTATCTTTTAATTGTATCTTATTATTGATTATTTATGCTCTCTTATTTAGTTAATTTATTTAATAATTGATCGTTTAAATCATATAATTCTAATAACTCTTTTTTCTACTATTTAATTGTATATTACTTTGGATCATAAAATTCTAATATAATTTCTTCTTCATATTACAAATTTTCTTAAATCAGTTTGTTTAATATTTCTTATAATTATTGAATATTTGAAGTTTATTCAGTTTTAGTAGAGCTTAATTTCTTACAATAAGTTATTGAAAGTATTTCTCAAATTTCAAGAATTATTTTTTTTTAATTTTTTCATAAATTAGTTTTTTGTATTTTGTATGAACATTTTTAATTTCTACAACATTAGATGGCCAGAGCCAGAGGAGAATTTATAGTGCTTGAAGATGTTAATGTTGATAGAAGTAAATTCTCCAAGTATTGGATCAAGAGAATTATCAATAATATCTGTAAATTATTAATTCATTATAAAATTCATTACTATTATTATCTCTACTATTCACGAAGTTTTTCAATTTACTTTCTCTAAAACTCTAGGTCTTGCCTTTCCTACATTTTTTATGGTTAATAATATAACACAATCAAATATCTAAAAAAGAATTAAATTAAAATAACAAATATACCTTCCCGCGACATTAAATCCAGATAAATTATCAAAAGCATTTTTAGCATCATAAATATCTTCATATACAACAAAAGCTGTTCCTTTCTTATCTCCATGAGTACCCCTAAAATAATCTATTCAAAGTGATTTACTTTCTAATTTGTCTAATTGCTCCAAATTTTCCAAATATATCATACATTTCTTCAGATGTAATTTTATATGGCAAATTTCTTACATAAAGTATTCTATTTACTTCTGCTGGCAATCTAATAACTTATCTAGACATAAAATTTATGATAAATTAAATATATATATATTTAATTGAAAGGTTTTCTTTAGAATTTTTATTATAATTGAGTGGTTAAAAATTCTTTCTAATTTCTTTGAGTTCGTTTAATTTTATACTTAGAAATCAAAATCTTTAATTTCTTGTATTAATTTAATAATAACTCTTCTACTTAATTTTTGATAAAATTCATTTTAATCTGACTAAAATAGAAAATAAGATTTAAAATTGAAGAATATTTATGCATTTACAATATATTCTAAGATTATATTTTATTTATATTATAATTATATGATTAACATGAAATTAAAAAATCCTAAGTCATTATCCTCACTTGTAAATGTGTATTTGAAAAATATTCATAATCCTTTGGAACTTAGAGAGTTAATTAATTAATTATTAAGCGATGCCACATTTTTACCAATGTATGGACTAACCGATTTATAAAAAATAGAACATAGAACTATCTTTACAAACATTTAACTTGGGAATAACTAAAACTTAGGGTAACTTATTAAGCTAAATTAGCACTATAATAGGAATGACGGTTTTAGGAGTAATTGGTTTCCTCGCACTTGGATTTACCTTTTTAGGGGCTATTGGTGGAGGAGCAATTGGAATAATTTTAGGAAGGTATTTAGGAAGAAAAATCTCAAAAAAAATTGCTACTAAAGGGATAAATTTAACTGAATTTGATATTTTTGTTATTCGAGTTAAATGCTTACTTAAATGGGTAAATTTCAGTTGAATAATTTAGGGTAAATTGATTATGGCCAAATACACAAACGATATTAATTTATAGAGATTTTGTGTTTAAAGGATTCTAACTGAAATTAAACCTCTATTACACTATAAGTATTTTGATCAAAAATTTTAAAAAGAATCTTTAACTTTATTATGTAAAATAAGAGAATAACTATCGAAAGAACAATCTATACATGCTTTGAGTCTCAGTTATAAATTAACAAAAGAATACATTCAAATTATTGAATAAAAAATAATTTATTCAAAATTTAGTACATATGAAGTAAATACTTATTATCATAGGTTAATCTTTAGATATCATATGTTTTAAATGAAACAGTTTCAGATGTATTAATTCCTTTTTTAACATTATTTTAAAATGTAGGAAAATTTGAGAAAAATGATGTCATCTAATTATTGATAAAAAAAATTAAAAAATTATAAGTTAATAAAATAGTATTAAAGTGTTAATAAAGCTATTTTGATTAATAACTTTCAATAGAATTTATCAAAATGTTTGCTGCTAAGCTAAATTAAAAAGTTAAAATTGAAGATTTGGAAAAATTTTTATAAATACAAAATTATAGATCATAACAATAAAATCGAGAATAAAATTCACCAACTAAAACCCAATAAAGAAGAAAAAGCTAAGGAGATATGATATCGATGAATGAAGATGTAGATTAAGAATTTCAAGCTTAAGTACCATTAACAATGAATAATTAAGTGAGAGCAAGGGCAAAATCTTGCGATGATAAAAATGATTAACAAATTAATTTAAAATAATCTGAGTAAACGATCAATCTAAATTAATAATAACCATAATAACCAGTTTAATAATCTCCATAAATTTTATTTGAAAAAACAGAAAAAAGAGGATCTTAATGCATATAAGAGAATTTAATTTAACAGAGTTAATTACAATAAATTTTATGTCTGCAAATGGAAAATTCTTAATAGCACTCGTAAATGCATAGAGGATCATAATTAATTTAAGAAAATTAAATTAATTCTGATAGAACATATTAATTATCAGCTGAGTTGGAAGAGAAATTTAAATTACTAGTTGATCTAATTGATGAACCTATTGAGGGATGGGAAATTATATTAAAAAAAGAGAATTTGATCATTTACAAAACATTCAAACCTGGAAATCCAGCAGTGTTTGTAAAAGGTCATAGTGATTTAGCAGGAATTTCAATAGATGTATTATTAAAAGCAATTCATAATGAAAAGTATAGACAAAAATGGGATAAAATTTTATTGAGTTTTTAAGTATTGGAAAGGGAATCAGCTATTGTAGATATCATTTATTACTATGTTAAGAGTCCTCCTTGTGTAGATAACAGAGAGTTTTGTTAAAAAAGAATATTGAAATATGATTTTCCAAAGTCAGGATAAACTTGTCTCTTATATTTTAGTGTAGATCATAATAAGGCTCCTAAATTCAAAGGGCATATAAGAGCAGAGACTTTAATTTCAGGTTATATTTTAGAATCCATTCCTGGGGGAAGTAGATTATACTTTTGCTCTAATAATGATGTCAAAGGAGATATTCCAAAAGTAAAAAAATTATGTATTATAAATAGAGTTTAGTTAATTATGTTGCTTCCAGAGCTCCTATAAGTTGGATTAATTCATTAAGAAAAGGTTGTGAAGATTACAATAAGATTATGTAACAAATTTAATCATGAAATATTCAGATAGAATTTGATTTATATCATTCAACTATACTTTATAAAAACATATAGATCAATAATAAGATAATGGTGCCTCCTATAAAAAACTATTTGACTGTAATTGAACTTTCTTCTTCCACTATTATATTTGCATTTAAATTGTTTTAATTATCTGTGTTTATATGATTGATTTAATAATTGTCACTCAATTTTAACTTATCAAAATGCTTTTTGAAGATCTTTGTAAATTGTTCATTTTATAAATTAAATTTTTTCGAATTAAAAGCTTACCTTTGCTTTTCTTAAGGACTACTTATTATTCCTCCTGTAGTATTTTCGTTGGTATACATGAATGAAATTATTGAAATCATCATTGATTCAATTGTTTACGCAGAACTCCAGCTTTCAGGATGAAAATTGGTAAATGATCTTATGATTAATTATCACATTACAAACATACAGGTTTTCCTACTTCAAATCTGCCTGATGGAGTAATAAATTTTAATGTAGGAGGTTTTAGTGGATAATCTGGAGGCATCTATAATATTCCATGATAATATCCTCCTTCAAAAAAATCAGTCAAATTATAAATCACAAAGTGCCATTCAAAAATATTATTAGGATTTGGTTCACAAATGAATTAATTATTATTCAACTTTTACAACTTGTCGTATTCTCTTAGTAATCTTTAAATTGATAATTGTTGAGCCATATTAAATAATAAATTTAATTATTTTTTCTGAAAAATAATATGAAAATTAAAATATCAGTCCCAATTTTGAACTTTTATTAAATACACATTCATATAGGGATCATTCATAAATTAATAATTTTTAAAATATTAATAATTTTAATACGAACTAAATGCTAAGTTGGGGATGAAATGGATGAAGCTAAAAAATAATATAGATACATTGAATTACGAGAACAATTCAAATGAAAAAAATTAAAAAAAGAAGACAATGAATGGGAAGTTACAAAATAATCATCCTTTTGAATATGTTCTGTTATAGCATTTTGCATATGTTGACAAAAATTAGATTTAATTCCACATTAATCTTAAATTAAGATTAAAATGAAGATATTGATAAGAATACAGTTATCATATGGTAACAAGTGTAAAATCTAATGAATGTTCAGAATTTGAAGATTGGGTAACTTGTATGAGATTATAAATTGTATGATGTAGTACTGATTTTGATGTATTAATATTTTTAGGAAAGTCGATAATGTCTGTCGGTGCTATAATGAAAACCTCATATCATAATTAATTATGGAACCCATAATTCTTGTCAAGGCAAAGTAAGGAGAAGGAAAGAATGAATGTATATAGAGAAAACGTACCTTCAGTGAAAATTGGAACCAATAAATAGAGAGAGATTAAATGATAAGAAAACAATTTAGATCAAAAAAATTAATTCTTCTTTAAAATAATATCAAAAACTAGTACCAAAAGAAGAATTTTCGAGCAATTGATTTTAGAAAAGTGTTATTTTTCGATTGAAAATCACGATTATTATTTTAGATCCCTTCTGACATTGATATTACTTAAATTCTAGAATCTGAAAATGAAAACTCACAAAAATATGTCTCTTTTTAGGCTACATTAAATCTTGATAACTTTACAATAGAACATCGAATCTAATTACTGCATTTTTAATTTTAACTAGAAAATCTAAAGTTATTCGTCAAAATCTTAGCATTAAATATTTAAATTTATATTTAAAATTTAAATAAGAATAAATAGGCATTTTAGATTAGAAAAATATAATTGTTAAAATTGAAATTTTATATTATGACATAAGAGAACTTTTTGAATTAAGGTAAACTGCTAAATTATAAAATGAATTTTTTAATATCATTTATTTCTTGAAAGCAAATAATCAAGTTAATTAATTAATATTTTATTTCTTCTTTATTTTATATTTTTAACATCTGAGGAATGTTAATTAATATTTATAATATTTAAATAGTTGTTTTGGTTATATTTATTGAAATGAGTATATTTATTAAATAAGCAATCTTAATAAATTGATTTAGAGAGTTATCTCGCGGTTTAGAAAATTAATTCATGTAAAAAATTTTATTTCAAAGTATCTAATCAGTGCCATCTATACTTAATTTTCAAAAAAAATGTTGATTTTATATTTTATTGATATTAGTCTTAAAAGAAAAAAATCCTTTCAAAATCATTTTATTTATTAGTAGTTTTTACATGTTTATTTTTAATTTCTTTTGATCTTCCTTCAATCCTTTTTTTATAATATTAAAAATATAATTAAATCGAAATAAATGAAATAAATTTTGTTCAAAAAACTATGTTAGGTATCTCTAATAAGTGCGATATTTTTTTTCTTAAATTAAGATTTTCATTATTAATAAAATCCAATAATTTTGGTATTTTTTCTAAATTGGGTTATTTAACTTTCTCTTTTTTTATTTATGTGCTATATAATTATTAACAGCTATTTTGTGAGGTTTATTTTGGTTATATTTATGCAAATTTATGTTTGAGTTTATTGGGATCTTAAATAAATTCAATGATTTCATAGGCTTTAATTCTATCTTTCTTTTCAACTCTAAGCAATAAAAGAATTAATTATTTTAATTGTTAATTATCTTAAATATCTTTCTCAACAATATTATCAATAAAATTTTAATCTTATTTTTAATCAAGATTATCTAAATAAAAATAATAATAAATTACCTTGTGTAAACATAAAATGTTAAGAATAGAGATTGTATAGAGTCATTCCTAATGACCAAATATCGCTTGATTCATCTGTATCTTTAGAAATACCTTAAATTTAAATTTCTGGAGGTGCAAACTGAGGTGTTGCTTCAATGAATAATTCTTCACTTTTTGCCTTTTCCAGAGTTTGGATTGAGGAGAAATCACATAGTGCAAACTTAAATTCTTAATCTTTAATCTTTTTGAATACTATATTATCAGGCTTTACATCATAATGAATAAAATTTGACTTATGAATTTCTGATAAAGCATAAGCTATAGTTTAGGCAATTTTAAAGATATTTGTCTTAAGGTCTTGACTTCCAAGAGATGTAAGATTACCATCAAATAATTCGAATTCAGTATATAAAAAACTACCTGGTATATTCTCTATTGGATATGTTGTATTTTTCCATTTAAAATCTTTTAATTAATTCCATTACTCATAATTTTATTTGTAATATCGATTTTAGATTCTAAGTGCAACTTCTTCTTTTTGCTCTATTGAATTTATAAATTTTTTTGATTTGTATACTTTAGCACTTGCTCCAGTTCCTAACATTTATTCAATATGGTATTCAAGATTCTAGTACTTTATTATATTGTTTTCATTTGAAACTTGAACCTTCCAATCATTTTACATTTCTATTAAAAATACTAACTATTTAAACAAAAAAATTATCTAATTCAATTTCATTTATTAATTCTCTTTCATATATTTATATATAAAACAAATTAATATTTCATTATTTTATTATTAATATATATCAATTTACAGAAAGCTAATAATTTTATCTATTTTAAGTTGGATTAACACCTCTTTAGTTAAATTAATATTTATTTTATTATTATTATTATTATTATTATTATTATTATTATTATTATTA